TTCCAAACTTGGAAAAATAATTTAAATAAATGTCTTGCTTCTGAGATTTGCTGCAATTTTAAATATAATCTTGTCCCTGACTATAACCCTTACCAAAAAAGTATTTTTATTGTACAGTTATGAGAAAGTAAACAAAAAGTCAGCTCCATTTTGATTAGAACTTTTATATTTTCCTAATATTTGGCATAACAAATCCGGGTACCACTTTACAATAAGACTACCCTTATAAGGGATTCATAAAGGGTTTATAATTAGGTTATTAATTAGGTTGTAAACACTTTATTAATCATTAAGAACCATTTATAAACCAGTTCTAACATAGTTTTCATACGTCAACACAGGCTCACTATTTGGCAAGATGACTAAGCCAATATAAGACTTATCAGTACAGATAAAAGTGGGCTCACTATTTGGCAAGCAACCGGTCACAGTCGCCATGTTTATCTCATGTCTTATAAAAGCTTATTAAGGATTTATAAAGTGTTCACAACCTAATTAATAAATGAATTACAAACTATTCGTAAACCCTTTATAAGGGTAGTCTCAGAGTTCCCGTTAGAATAATTATTTGCCGGTCAACATGTCCGTTACAGTTTAAATCTTCCGGACAAAATTAGAAAAGTGCCGGTCAAAGGTCTTCTATGTTATTTATTGAGCTTTAAAACAAATTGATATGATTCGATATTAAACAAACTAATTATAGTAGATTAATTAACTATTCAAAAGTGTACAGACATTTACAATAACACGGGAATAATAAACGGAGCGCTCTCCCCCTCTCCTGACAACACGCCAGTATCATGCAGCTCACGGATCCACTAATGAGTGACCCGACAGTAAAACTAAACATATCTATAACTAGTTTAGGTAGTTTGAGAGGTAATTAAAATAGCTACGTGTGATATTCTAACCTGAAGTGTGTGTTTTGTTCCGCTCACCGCTGCAGGTGATCATGCAGAGATGAGTGTCGACTCGTCAGCAGCAGCTGATCTCTCTCTCCCGTCAGATTAGACTTCACTCGCGTTTATCTCCATATCGATCAGATCTAGCTAGTTCTAGCTAATGATATGACTACCTGCTTATTAAAAGACACCTAAACAATAAGCGTTGCTATGCAACTGGGTGAGGCCACAAAGTATAGCGCAGCATTATGCATTTGTTTACATGCCCACCGGAACCCCGAGGCATTACCAACAGATCAACACACAATCAACCCGTACAGGACACTCTTTCTCCACATTAAATGTTAGACATTAGAATTGACTATTTTTGTCTGTCACATACTCTTTTGTCTGTCACATACTATTCTTGTCTGTCACATAAGTGGCGCAACTGATGCGGTATTGCGCTAAGGGGAAATCATTTTGACCGGACATTTTGACCGGAGAGATTTAGATTTGCCGGTCTTCAGCATATTTTACCGGTCATAGTCCGGTAATTACCGGCTAACGGGAACTCTGGGTAGTCTTATTGTAAAGTGGTACCCAAATCCGTCATATATTTGCTGACATTTTCAAGGGTACGCTTCAGAATGGCTAGGATGTCAAATTTGAAGTAATTTCACGATCTCGCTTCAATATCTCAAACTAAATTGAAAAGTAGGCAGTCAGGCCACCAACTGTTGCAGGTAAAGAACAACTGATGCATGTCATTACAAAATGAGATAGACCATAGGGTCACAGTTCAGCTAGAAAATGTTTGAATGCTGTTGTGAAATCGGTCATATTTGAATTAATGGAGGGTTATTCCTCTTTTGAAAAAGTGAAATCATGGGTGGTGGATACTGAGAGGCAGATGAAGGCCTTGTGCTGTTGAGATGAAGCACACTAATGTTGACGGAGTAATGGAAGCTAAAGCGTTGTCAGAGTTGTGTGCAGGGATCGGACCGAGCGTGAGTCATAGTAATTGGCTCTTATCTCAGCGGTGGAGAACAACATCCATTAACAGCTTTAGATGGAGGCAGAGCTAGATTACAGAGGGGGAAGCTGTGAATACTTATTGAGCTGAAACTCTGTGTGTGTTGCTCGTACAATAACAAACATGTATGTGTCTTTTACTGTACGGTCTACTATGTCTCCAGGTAGTGGAAATTGTTTCATTTGATCATTTTTATACTTAATTGTTCAGGGTTCTTACGGTCATTAAAAACTTGGAAAAGTCATGGAAATTCAAAAAGCTAATTCCAGGCCCTGGAAAAGTTTGGAAAAGTCATGGAAATGTAACTAAAGTTGCATCAAATATAATTTATATTTTATCTAATCGCCGAAATAGTAATACTATAATGATAATACATACTGTATCGTATAGTAATGAAACATAAAATGGCATTTAACTGACGAGGTATTTTGCTGGTGAGAGATTTGAGTTGCTTTAGCGTGTAGAAGCTAGTAAGCCTACTATTTGATTTGTTTTAGATAGGCACAACATGTTTCATATGCAGACCTTATTTTCCTGTTCCATGTTCAAATAAACCATTTTCAGTGGTACCGCTGAGAAAGAGTCGTGTTTTTGGTCATGGAAAATTAGGTAAAGGTCATGGAGAAGTCATGGAGAAGTCATTGAAAATCATTGGTGAAAAAGTGTATGAACCCTGATTGTTGTTTTTCCAAGAAGTTCTTCACATCACATTTACATTCACTTACAATTCTTTCACATAATTTTCCCTTTTGACCAAAAACAAAAACGATTCAAGGCTCGATATGTCGTGGAGTCAGAAAATATCTTATGCTTTCCAGAAAAGTCTTTCCTGGGTGCTGTTGTTCAAATCAATTGAAAATGAAAAACGCTGCAGAAACACATCCCCAGTGATTTCATTTGTAACAAAACCAACATCCAGACTGAGTTTATACAAGTCTATTAAAACAATTGACACTAATAATATCATTAGGTAATACAATATAACGTTTTTAATTTGTAAGTCAATTAAAGCATTAAAGAATGAAACATGAAGGTTTCTTCTGACATCGCTGATCAGTCTCCATCAGGATCAGCCTGTAATGAGCCATTCATCTTAACAACACCACATGATTACAGCATCCATTCATCCACATTATTACACTGCTCATTCATCTCCTATGGTGCCATTACAGCTGAAAGACCTGTTTCCACCTGGGGACATAAAGCATGCCTCTCTGTGATTAGTGCCACTCGTGATCATATCCACAGACCAAAAGGAATGATGATGGAGCTGTGACAAACGTTTGATTTTAATTTAAAGGTTTCTTTGTGTATTACCTTATTCAACGACATCATGTATTTCTTTATTGCTGATTATTTCCCCCTCTCAGCCTCAGTGAGCTCTCGTCCTTCTGTTTTTAACAACTCAACACTTTTTCTCCCAGACGAACAGATGGAAAATGATAATCTATCTCCAGCTGCGTGTGATATTGTGATATCCTCAGCGTGGTTTTAACTGTCGACCCCTCAGCTGTGTTTTCCACTCTGAAGAAGAGTTTGGACACATCTCCTTTTATGATTTTGACCCTTAATAATGTTTACACTCATGCTGAGAGAGGAGACGTTCCTGTGTTAAACTACTGACAGACTGCAGTGTAATGTCAAAGGCCTGCTTTCACTTCGCTGACATTTAACCTGCCGAATCATTGATACAAGTCTACACCTCAGCTCCTGAGTAGGGCTGCACGATTTGGGGAAATAATCTAATAGCGATTTTTCTGACAGATATTGCGATTCGATTTACGATATTTGTTTTTAAGCGACCCAACTGAAGTTTATTGTAAAATGCGGTCATATCTCCGGCTAGGAAGGTCGTATCAACGTGCTCCCGTCTCTAGCACCCCCGCAGCCCGAGCTACGAGTGAAAGAACTAAACTTACATGAAACTTCCGTTGGGTTGCTTTAAAGTCAAGCTTCAGTTTAAGATTCACCCTGTAATAGATGTAGAACATGTGATGGAGCATTACTAACCTGAACTCAGATGCTTTGTTTCACCAAACCATCTAGCAAAGCTCCATTGGAAGCCATTTGGAAAAGGGCTGGCACTTTCAAAAATACTTGGCAGGTGATTGGATCAATCTGTCTATCACCTTCTATCATGGGCCACTTCTGATTGGTTAACAATGACTGGGACAGGTGGAGCACAGCACTTCTGATTGATGTGGATGACTGACACACAAATAGAACAAAACATTTTTTATTCAAGGCTTTGCGATTTGATAATTGCATCATTTAAAAATCGCGATTTCGATTTAACATCGATTAATCGTTCAGCCCTACTCCTGAGACAAACAACAACCTGGTGATCCTGCCCTGTTGCTTCTGGTATTTAGCCTTTCTTGAATCTCTTAGTGCGGAATCACTCAGGATAAGTGTTGTGGTGCTCCTGTTGAACTTTCTACTCTATTCCAAACATCTCAGTTTTTTCATCTGGACCGAGGACTGGATGCTTCTGTGAATGTAGAGATAATGTATACAAAGGTAGCTCGTTTTAAGGCAAATTTTACATGTCGGTCATTACTCTGGCTAAAGTATGGAAGTGCCGTGCAAAACATGTGATGCACTATAAGTGAAGTTTGTTGACATTACAATCACCAGTACTTGTTCCAGGAATGAGTCCTAAAACCCGGGAATGAGTGAGCATTTTAGCACTTCTGGTTCCCTCGTCAGTTTTATTTAACGTGTTTTTGATTAGAAACCTGAAATAGGGGGTGTTTCTCAATGTCGAGGACGCTTCCTTGGTAGCACATGTCTTCCGAGTCACTTGCTTCAGAAGCGAGGCAAGAATCCTTCCTAGCCTCGTAAAACGGAGAATGGTGGAACAGGCCAACAGGTATGCAGGTGTGCGTCATATGCGAGGCCCCGCCTTAAATGGAGCGCGATTTCCGCCAAAGATTTGGAAATTGTTTCTTGCGCAAAGCATTGTGGGGATTTTAAGACAGCGGAAGATACACATGTGCATCTTTATTTGCATCTTTAAACTGTTTAAGTTCAAGCCTTGTTTTAAAATGTACGTTTTTTTCTGCTTTGTGATTGGTTGACAGACGTGTGTGACAGCTCATTGGTTTCCAATCTGCCTCCATCGTCCTTCAGAAGCTCTTCTCAGCTGTCCAGCAGCCACGCGCCGGGCTTCGCCAAACTCAACAGGAGAGACGGTAAGAAAGACAGGATACAGATGTACATAGTTCGGCTAAATCCACATTACTAGCATTATTGTTGGTATTGTTTCAGAGCTATAGGGAATACGGTTTATACAGTCTGTGAGTCTGTTCATTACATTCTGTATTTGTCATTCTTTTTATCCTTGTGTGAACTCTTACCTGTCCTATCCTGTGTTTCAATCGTACTCCTGTTGCTGCTTTAACACCTGAGTTCCCTACAGGGATCAATAATTGTTTATCTTGTCTTATAAGTCTAATAGAGAGAAAGAGGTGGTGGCAAATCTCTCCTCTGTAACTCCCAAGCTGCTCTGCTGCCGTTTCACTCAGTTGTGAAGAGGCTTCATTTGAGCTCAGGACACAAAAACATAACAAATAAAGAATCATTTGTACTAGGGCTGTGCAATTAATCGTATTTTAATCGCAATTACGATTTTGGCCTGCCACAATTACGAAAACAACATAATCGAAAAAAACGATTATTTTGCTTTGCTAGGTTGTGACAGTGCAACATATTTGATCTAATTAATTTTTATTTATCATATTTATATATGTTTAGTAGCTTGGGGAAGTGCGCTCCAAAATATTTGTTGATCTTGTTTATTGGTATATTATTTATTTAAATGTATCATTTATTTAATTTATTTTTGTAGTCGTTTCTCAGTTGAATGATACGTTCAGGGAAATCAACAGTTAAAAAGATACTGTTCAAATTATTATTTGTTTTAAAGTTCAATAAATGGATGTTTTCAAAGTCAATGAATAATCGTATTTAATAATCGTGATATCAATTATTGACCAAAATAATCGTGATTATGATTTTTGCCATAATCGCACAGCCCTAATTTGTACTGAGAAGGATCAAATCCTACAGACTAATGTCCCGTCTTTATTCTCTGTTTGTAGTGAAGGTTTTTGCCACGAGGATAAATGTGAATGTGTGTTCGCCCAACAAAAAGCCCCAGCAGGGAGCCCTGTGCTGGATATTGATGTGAGGCTTTGACAAAATGAAGATCATGGTTTGTTGTGGGGCTTTCTGCGGGGAACGAGCTTCACTGCTTTATCCTGACATCAAAGGGTGGGATGGGTTTAATCTGGATCTGAATGATTTTCACCACCAGGGGAACTAAAGAAACAGAGCCCGCAGATTTCTGCTCTGTCATCAGCTGGTTTGATGCTCGAGCCTCTGAGCAAACAGTGTTTTGGTTGCAAAGTGCTGCCAGTCGCTTTGTTTGCCGATCTGACTTTGATTTCAGGAAATAGTGGATTGACAAGGCTCTCTGCTGTGGTGCTAGCATGCCTTCCTCAACCTGCTACTGTTTCTAATACACTTAATCAATTTAAAGACAAGATTTGACTTTTTAAGAGCGACTGAAGCATGTAATCACTTCCAAGACTTCCACAGTAGAAAGGAGTAAAGGTCACACTCTATGTCATGTGGTGAAGGCTTCATGTTGAAGGTAATTTCCATCGTTGCCCTTTTGCTGACACCAAAGCCAGTCTTCTGTAATGCTGCTGACATATCCTGGTCTCTTATTAACTCTTACAAGAGACAGGAGAGCCAAATGTGTCAGATATTAATTTAAAAAGACATGTTAATACCTTCAGTGAAAACTTACTAACAATAACTTGACAAACTTTGTCTTTTTTCGATCAAAAAGTTTAAGAACATGTGGCTAGTGAGGCCCATCTGTAGGTGCTCTTAAGAAATCTCTCATCATTCTCAGCATAGTTTTAATATTTCCTGTTTGCTGTTGTACTATACTGTAGGTCTGATTTGAGTAAAAACGACTAAACTAGTGGTTGCTGAAATATAAATAGAAAAAACCAGCTTGTACAGCCGTGTGGAAGAACTCTAAGAACGTAATAGACAACAGATGGTAAGTTGCAGGAGATGCAGCTTTTGCTTCGACAGCAAATAAAATAGGTTAACGCCAGCGGGGGCTACGAGCTTTTTTTTCACAAAACTGTGTCTCAGGGCTTCTTAACATTTAACAACCTATGAATGTGTCATACCCACTTAACGGGAAGAAACTCAGCTAACTGACGATATTAACTATTTTTAGCTAAACAAAACACAAGTCTAACGCCGAGCCTCTGAATTAGCACTAAGCGAAAAAATGCTAACGCACTTAGCACAGAACTCACAGTAGAAATATTGTATACTTCATCGGTTCTGCACAAACAAGATATCAAATGAAAGGTTACAATGGTATAAGTATCATCACTCCACGACCAAAACTCGCCGCAGCGAAGGCGAAACCAGACAACACACAACTTAGCTTTACGGGGCCAAAACGGGAAATATGTCTTACCTTTGCTGTTTTCTGATCAAAAGTTGTGTTCAATGGCATTAAAACGCATACAAACGCTGCTGAAGGTTAATCCAATGTGTCTGCGTTACTTTGAAATGATTACTGATAATCCATCATAAGATTTTTGTCAAAAACTGAGATTTCATATAGAGTGTATGAGAGCTACAACCCAGTTTCCGGTTTTGGGCATGCTGCGCTCATTCACCAATGGTAATGTTTAGATGGATTTTAGGAACTTCCCCTCGATTCTATTGGCTCTAACGGTTCAAAAGAGGTGTCAATCATCGAAATCGACCGACGGGTTCCAGAGATATGGAAAATGCACCCAAATGACCCCAGAAGTGTTTTTTTTTTTCTAAACCTCTCTAAAAAGGTCAAATGTCACTTGTTTTGCATCAATCTTGATACAGGGTACTTATTATATGTTATAGTTTGGATTCCTAAAGCTTTTAGTCTACTATCCCATCATTCAAGGGTGGTTTTCACTATAAGTTGTGTTTTTTTTTGACGGAAACTAATTTACATTTTTTTACTATGTTCAATCTGAATTTCCTTAAAATAAAAAATGCTATATTGATTCTGAATCTTCTACATCCAACTCACAGGTTTATCATTACTTTGAGAACAAAGATTATTAATTTACCCCTTTTAGAAGTGAAGTTATAGTCATTTGTTCTGGGAATGTCATTTTCGAGCCTGAGACCTGAAAAACAGGCTTGGGTCTTAACAGGTTAACAAACAACTTCCCAACAGTGGTAGCTTTCAGGCATTACCCTAATCTAGCCTTAGCATGTAGTAGTAAGATAAGGAAAGCTGTGTGTGTGTCATATTTCCTCCTCAGCAACATTCATGGTGCAGGTTCCCGGAGAGCGTTTCCAGCTGCTCGCTGAGGAAATCAATGAATATATGAAACATCTCCATCTCATTTCCATCCCCTGCTGCTGCCTCCTCCAGCCGCTCTCTGAGGAGCAGCTCGCTCTCTATTCATTTAGCCTCTAAGTGAGCAGGGATTAACAGTTTTGGAATACCACTGACACAGCATCTTTACCAAGGATTTAATCAGACAGTCAGCTGGAATCCATAACATTACACACATTCAGAAGCATCCAGGTAATGGTTACGTGAATATGTTGTTCTCACAGATGTAGCAATAGACCATAGCTCCACATTTCATGACACAAAACAATGAATATTAAAGTGGACCTATCATGCTATATTTGAATAATATAGTGTAGGACCATACCTATATAAGGCATATTTATACTTTTTTTTTTTCAAAATACCAAACAGATCATGCATTTTAGCCATGCCTCATTTTGCTCAATTTGACAATTTCTAGCTCTGGGCAGATTCAGTGAGAACAGCACCATCTACTGGCCTGGCATATGTACTACAGTGTCTCCAGCGCTTTCGAACGGCAATGGCCGTGGCTGTCTCCTCCTGATTGGTGGAGTTAGCCCAATAGCCGTAGTGCCACTGTCCTGACATCAGGACAGTGTTCAAATCTGGATCAGTTTTTATCAGATCCGTTGCAACCCCTTTTTTTTAGAGATTTGGGTATGGAGGAAAATAGAGAGGGTTGTGTTTTCTGACACTTGGTGAGTTCCCTGGAACACCGGGGACACATATTCATGTATAAAAGACGTACAAAAGTGCATTTTGCATGATAGGTCCCCTTTAAGAAAATATAAGGAATTAGCTTCCTAACAAGACATGAGCACTGCAGCAGGATTATATGTATGTTGTTCTGTCTGTCATATTATATGGTACAGTATTCAAACAACAGTCGAAAGACACTTATGTACACATCACCTTGAGCGAAATGCGAGCTCAAAATGCTAATGCTGCTGATTTGACCACGTTTGATTTTTATAATGTTCATCATTCTGGCGTTAGCATACTAATTAGCAGTCGATGCTAGGCTCATGGTCATTATTTATAGTATTTTTCAGGTATTTTATTATAAAACCAGATAATTGTACACATTTTGACCTGATTTTAGAGTGAAATGAAAAGTCAGAGGATCGCCAAAGCTATTAAAATCCATCCTGAGGGTAATATAAATGTTTCCACAAAGTTCTTTGGCAATCCATCCAACTGTTGTTGAGATATTTCAATCGGGATCAAAGTGTTAGGAAGGATTATTACATTTTTTGAAAGACGATAAGACTTTTTTTAAACATGTGACACTGCCAAAGGGAAACAGCAACCTCATGTAACCTTTCTCCCACAGAGACACTTTAAATAACCCAGCAGCAGTTTCTCTCTGCAGTGAGACTGGAGGACGGACATTGTGCTTCAGACTCTGACCTGATGTGTCTGATCACAGAGGAGGCCTGATAGCTCTGGGTCTGACACCAGGAGAGGATAAAAAGCCCTGATAGTCTATTGATTGGAGGTGAATGGCCTTTTATCAGGAACCTGAGGAAGAATGAGCTATTTCCCCTTCTCTCTCTCTGGCTCTCCTCTTTCTCCTTTCTTCCTTAATCTCAACGTGTCTCTGTCTGTCTTCTGTACAGTCTGTTTTTGTAATAATTTGTCACATTTTCATTTTCTCTGGTGCGAACTAATTCAGCCACTTCTGTCTTCCTGCCAACTGTTAATAGCAGTGTTCATTTTTTAAACCGTTTCATTCTTCCTGGGCGACGCTGACAGTTATCACTGACTACTCTGCAATTATGC